AAGAAGGAGCCAAGGAGTAGCAGTGGAAAGGCTGCAGAAAGAGTCAGGGGCCCAGAGGAGGGGACAAAGGAGGTGAGGGGAAAGGGGAAGAAATTGGAGACGAAAGCAGACGACAGAATATTGCAAGAGAGAAGGAAAGAAGGGGAAAGGAGACAATTTTAGAGAAGAAAGTTGTACGGTCGCTACCCGGATTCAAACCCGGGACTTTTGAGTGAGAGGCGAACACTTTAACCTTTAGGCCACGAGAGTCCCCAGGTACTGATTTAAAGCTAAATTTAATAAATTATGCATTATCCGACTCATTGATATTTCATTTACAACAGGGATCGACCGAGATACGATCACTAAGTAAGTGTGTACGAGCTTGTACTGAGGTGCACTACTCCTGTCGTTGTAGAGTGATCCAAAATTGATTAAGCTTTAAATTGGTATCCTTCATGATTGGAAAATACAATGACAAGGTTAATACATGTTAAAGGTTCTTTTTTGGACGCCATTGTATACGGCATTGAAAAAAAACATCTTATATTTTAATAACAGAAAGAGTGTCCAGAAGACAGAGATGAGTCCCTGAACTCCGTGATGACGAGTATTCTGGTCATTCGTCCATTTTTGAGGACGCTCTGTATTGGGCAACTTTGAAAATAAAGTCATTCGAACAAATTTTTCAATTCCATGTTATTCTTAAAATCTGAAACATAATTCGACAACTTTTATTTATTTGTACAATAAAGTTATGTGCACATTCGTTTTAATGGTTTGAGTGTGGAGGCTTGAAAATGTCCATGTCACAACATTGCCTTTAATCTACAGCTGATTGGATATAATTATGTGTGAGGCATCAAGGTGAAATCAGGCGCTCATCCAAATAATGATATCGAAGAAACTGGCATTTTTCTTCCCGATTGGTAACTTTTATAGAAATTTTGTTTTTGGACTCAAGACCTTTAAGATTGATTTTTAAACACATTTTTGGGTGGATTTTACTGAAAAGGGTTGATTTAAGGTAAACAAAAATGTAGATTAGCTGTGTCCATGGACTCTCAAGCTTTGGATATCATGAAACTTTGGCGGTCATTTTTCTCGCCAATTTCACCTCTGAAACCAGGCGACCTCCCACCTTCTTCAATAGCAAATTTTTCGACTCCTATTCAAGTAGCTTCATCTGTCTGTCTGTCTGTCTGTCTGTCTGTCTGTCTGTCTGTCTGTCTGTCTGTCT